GAAAATTTTCTTCAAAGGATTAATGAACTCGCTGTTCAAAGTTCAAACAATACCGTTTTTAATGTGAATGTTAATTTGGAAATGAGAATATGATTACTGCAAAAGAGTATAGAATGCAGCGCGCCTTCAACAAGTATTTAATGATTTGTATATAAATGTTTATCCCAATTTATTAAACTAGAATTTTGATCCTGATAATTCACGCTTATTCTAGTTCATTATATACTTCCTAATTAATACCCACGTAGCCTCGAGAATTTTATGTACTTGTATAATGTCTGAAGCTCGAAATATTGCTGGCAGGATTGAGTGAATACAGTATGTTATACATTACACTGTAGCCTTGAAGTACGCAGTCGACGAATCGTGCAGTTACGCAGGGTACGGTAAATAGTAAGCACAAAATAAATAAATATTACATCATGAATTTAGTAAACCCACGAAGGTGAACCCAGTTGCCACGCGGACATATTTAAAGGCTTCACCTGCCACGACACAATTAAACAAGTCGTATGTACATGAATATTCTGTATATAGTGACTCTGATTTGCCTGGCTCGACACGAGTCGTCTTCACTTTCTACCTGGGCTGTGGCTACGAGTTCTCTGGATCAGCATGTAAAATTTAAATAATCGCTTCTTAACAAATAATACGAGCACCCAATGACCCAAATAAACCGAAATTTTATCACTATGTTTGCTGTATATTTTATCTGGCTAAAATATCCTTATATTTGATTCGATATTTTTGGAATCGGAGACGTTTTGCATTTTCTGTTTGACTATAAAATTATCTTGATGTGGAAATTTTTTCAATCGTGCTTATATAATGAAACGAAAGGTGGCGCACCAAACATTCTATTCTATATTTTTTGCAAATGGTTAAAAAATGTTATTTTTCCAATTCGTAGAATAAGGTTGATATTGAGCCAATTTTGATCTTTTTTTGTTAACTTTCTTAATATTTTAACGATTCCTGTGTTGACGAAGCACCTTAAGTCTATATTGAAGTGATAAAACGGTTCAGGTGCTTTAAAGTCGATCCATTGAATGAAGTTGCTACTTTCAAAAGCAATGCAATCTTGGTTCTGTTGTCGTATGGGCGCCGAAGCCTTCTAATCCCGTCAGCCCAAGTGAAGGTCATGCGTCAGCAAGCATTGCTCAGGCTTCAGCGTTTATTGCGTATGAGGGTTGATCTTGCATCGCAAAATAATATAGGTATTTTTTATGTAGAGTTTACCAGTTTATATAGCTAAGTTTCGAGTGAAAGGCCACGTGAGAAACTTTCAGCATTATAGTCTCATTTCTAAGCATTCTTTAACTTCTAGTTAATTACAGTAAGTATTTTAATCGCCTGCTTGGGTTAGCCAACATTAATCCAACCCTGAAGTTTCATCTGGAGCTATTTTGTAATTCCAAGTAAAGTCCGCGGTACCAAGGTCATTAAATTCACCGGATTTCCCGAGTCCGTAAATAAAGCTTCTCTGAAGCGGAAACCAATTCTTAAAGTGCAGTGAAACGGCCACCAAATCTGCGCGAGCCAGAGACATCGCCATTGTGAGGGCAATCTTTGCCACGGAAATGATTGCAAATTTTTTTTTTGTTCAAAGAAAATTAAAAATAAAAAGTTTCTAAGTTGGGCAAAGTAATTTTTACTTGTTTGTCATTTCTCCAGGAGTGACAAGGCACCAGCTAACATTTGCAAATGAACTCTGAAGGTTTCGTTGGTATTTGAAAACTGTGACACCCCTTTGATCTCTGCGCTATCAACTGCCGTGTAACTGTTGGCTGATCGTATTGACCACAAACACAATTAACGAATTTATGATCTTCGTCGAACTTTTGATCATCAGAATAATTATCAGCCACTTCTGCATTCCGCGTTACCGTTGCATTGTTGGTGTCAGCTTTTTTTCGGTCAGTGGGTTCGTGTTGATTAATTAATTGGTCAATTAACCCTGCTGTGACTCCCAAATAGCCGGCCTCGCTGAACAAACATTTCCAATGAAACCCTTTCGAGTTCTTATCTTTGATGTACAAACTCGTCCATAAAGAAGATTACATTGAACTTAAGCGGCGAGCGACTGACAATCTTATCATGGCTACCAGACTTCAATTACTCTCGCATCGATCTGGAAATATCAGAAGACTACACATGCCTGACGGCTGGCTGCTTCCACGATTTATGTTGTGCTAACTTAACCGGATATGACGTATTGTGCGTCACAAAGGCACCCTTCAGTCCTCATCAATAAACAATGGTTTTTGTCTTGCCATGTCGTTGTTTGTGAGATTTTTTATTCGTTTACTGGATATTCGTTCATATTGTAATTTCACTTATAGCACATTTCTTAAACCACATTAGCGCGATGTATTTATCTTGTTAGCCATACGAACGCGGTTTCCACAGTTGAGCATTAATTCAAACCACCCTACACCTTAATTTTCCCAGCATCTAAAATTAGGAACCACATACTCTAATATTTAATTATTTTACATACTTCTAACGTTGGAATTCCATCGTCTGAACATTATGCCCATGATATAGGGAAGCTATAACTTATAATCAATTGCAATAAAAAGCAATAAACATCTAGTTTTCGGGTGGCTGTAAGGACGGCAGTCGCATGTAGGCCTGCAGTTGAGGCCTCAAGAAGCATTTAGTCCTCACTGAAGCCGATAAAGGAGACCAAACAACTCCTGTAATTGGTCTGCAGGGTAAAGGCAAATAGTCGCAAGCCTTGATCATCTGCAAATGCTGCTCGCCGCAAACTCAAAACGCTTGAATTAATAGCTGATTTATGCACCTGTATCGAACACACATAAAAATGTCCTGGAATATTATCTAAATATTAATACACTTCCTTATAGCGGACTCATTGGGCGGACGTAGCACTGATGTTCGCTCATGCCGGGCCAAAATGAGTCAGGATTACCCACACAATGGCAAAAGGTGCATAGCGATATAGTGAACGTCTCACTGATTTGTTTAAGTGATTGTAAGGGCACAGCTGATGCATGCCGGTCTTCAATTTTTTGTTGAATTATTCAAACAACGCATTCGTGTGGTGAATTATAGTTTGAAATAAGTTAGACAATATGTGAACCACTAAAACTAATTCATTTCGATATGTCATCATCTACGAATTTTTTACTTTCAAATATGCCAGCAATGCTCTTGCGTGCTTATTCGTAACGAATTGTTATGATACTGCTGCATTACAAGTTATTATTTTTTGGCAATTTGTGTTAGATTTCATGGTCCAAATTTGTCAAATGAATCGATTTCACGATTCGTAACGAATTGTAACAATATTTCTACGTTACAGTTTATATTTTTTCAAACTGCTTGTTGGATTTCAAAGTGTAATTTCTGTAAATGACTCCATTTCATTAACGTAGAAGATAACCCAATACCGTCGACCAATATTTAGAAGCAACAGAGTTCGCGTGACGGCCGCAAGCAGACAACAATCCTTGCGTGGCTCCAGCGCATAAGTCTGCAAAGAGGAAGAAGTCGTGTTGTTTTTTCTGGCACTGGTAGAGAGAAGTAAATAATATAATTTATTTCTAAAGCCAAGTGCCTAAGTAACCCTTTAAAGTAATGAAATTCAGTTCAAGATCCTTGAAATGTTTCAGTGTGATGTAAGGTTCGAAATTTTCCGATTTGATGGCAATTTTGCATGAGGCTCATCTTGTTTAACTTTTGGTACTAAAATCTACTACATAACGAAAATTAATTTTAAACATTTTGGAATCTTTTAAGAGATTTGTGTACATTTTCAACATTTTGAATACTTGCTTCAAAATCAAGATAATTCACTAGATATTGATAAGGCTATCATATTCGACGCTTGTGCGAACAAATATTTGTGCGAGTAACTTATTTTGCATTGGATTTTTCTACGCAACGCAACCTTGAGATAGATTTATGGCATGGTTTGAATAATTTATTTTATTTACGTGTCTAACTTGTTTACAAGGACTTTAAATTTACGCAAGCTATTTCAGTAATTCATGCAAATAAAACATGTACATTACATACGTGTAATTTCCATCGTGTTTTACAGCCATCATCGTGATTGTACCAGAAATATTTGACAGAATAAACAGAAAAATTTCGTTGATAAAACTGTTATTTTTTCGAGTGAGTGTGTAATCTATTCTTCCGTTAGATTTTCTCCTCCTATTTGTCGGTTTTGAGGTGCCTGCCCTGGCCCAATTTTATTTGAGGAAGGTAGTATGTGTATTGGAAGTAATCGTTCCGTTGCCACTTCGAGAATAAAAAACTTTTCTTTTCATGCTACGAGAAAAAGTGGCATCAAGTCTAAGAAAAAAGTTAGTGTTTTGACATCGAGACGCTGCTGTCAACATTCTTTGTTGATGCTGAGGTCGATTTCTGCAAAATATCATCGTAGAAGTCGGCTGAAGAACCGCGTTTTGCTTTATCGCCAACGGGTACATTCATACAAAGCAGGCGATCTAGCATCGACTATACGGTATAGTCGCAAGGATATCGACTGCTCGTCCTGCATCGTTCAAGAAAAAGCTTCAGCGGCAGCAGCAGGAGTCCAACGAAAGGAATTCGTGCGGCGGTCGATGCAAGCTCCCAGCAATAAGATCGACGGACCTTGCACGGTAAAGCTACGCTTGTCGTCAAAGCCAAGAACGCTGTTCCTGACTGCCACAGGCTATAAGGATAATGCTTTCTTCTATCATGAAGATACCTCAGTATTTAAACGTACCACAAATTATGCTCAATTCCAAACACATGAGTCCACTAATATAGAAAATAAATTTATTTTTCCTATACAACTAGACGCCCTATCATCCTTAGATAATAAAGCCAAAGACTTACTTAGACTTCCTGACCAACCACATCAATCCCTACTGGATAATAGGACTGTACAATTTGTAGATCGCAAGAGTTTTAAAAGCACCAATACCAGTATATTTCGAAGTGTATACACGAATATGAGTAAACTTTCGTCATTCCTCAATATGGAAGCAGGTAATAACGGCACAGAACAGCCTGTGGAAGTGCCTGTGAACACAAGCAATGATTCCGAAGAAAATTCGGGTCACTCGTGCCGAGCCAAAAGTTCAGCGACTCAAGAAAAAGATGTCTGTTCATCACAGCGTAATGCAAGCAGGTTCTTCATTTTCGTGACCGCACTTCGGCTTGTACTGTGGTTCTTCCATCGTCTTCTCAGAACACGAGGAGCCTCATGTCAGCCGATTAGCTGTAAAAGCCTCCAAAACGCTGGCTTTCTTCATTCCTCCTCGGAAAAAGACTCCATCATGCGACCTGACGGTAGTCCCTCGAGACTCGTCAAAGGGACTGCGAACGGCTTCAAGAAATTCAAGCCTGCAATGGCAACTCTGCTGCCCCTGTTGCTTTTCTTGGTGGCGTCCACCCACGCCAGCGAGTTCCCTGACAGAGAGTGTTGCGACAGTGTTCCTCCTCCGGCACCTAACTACCACAGCGTCACCTCAACCACCACTACCACCACCGCTCCCTTTCATCACTTCAGGATCAATTCATCGCTTGGTAGCCAGCTGGGTGAGTCTAATATTTTGATTTCAATTTTGTGAGGATTACCCTATCAACGTAGATTCCAGTTCTTCAATGTTTCTTTCATGGTTCAAGCAGGATTTGAGTATTTTTTCAGATTATCTTCCGTAGACTATGCGTAAATTTACACTGGAAAATTTTCTTTCAGTTGAAAACCAACCCGATATTTGCCACAGGTTAAATATTTGTGTTCCATCTCATTTTTATTAACCCGGCCACAGTTTATTATTCGTTTAATTTCCCTTCTACACACAAAAAATTTCTACGCACACACAAAAAAAAAAAATCTTTCCAATGTTGAAAATTTGCGCCTTGTGCTTGCTATTCTTACATATAGCTCCCTCTAAGTTGAAACGTATTCTATATTTTGTCATTTAGTATTTAAATAATTATTATCATGGGGTACGCGAGAATTGCAGAAGCTCATTTAGCTTAAAGCTTTTTCATAACAAATTTGATTAAGTAAAACAAAAACAAATAATTGTACATTTGTGAATAAATATGGTTTATCTCCATTTCGATAATCGGGCTAAGAAAATATAATTCTCGGATGTTATGGACACAAAGCCATTAGCGAGCTTGCCGAAGAGCTGGTGGCCAGTCTAAGGCAGGGAGCGCCGTGCCTCCTAATGAAGGTAAACCCTCTAGACATCGACCGCGATTGTCAAGCCAGTGTAAAGAGACTCCGTCCCATTCTTATTAGGCTCCCTGCAATGGATGGCGCTGCTCGAGAACCATTCGGGACCTGCTCACGGGAATCTCTCTGGAATTTGAGAAATCCCGTCTGTCATTGTGAAATTTATTTTTGGGGCTTTATTTTGTCATGTATTTGTCTTGAAGTTATTCACGGATACGTGAACTATTAGCAAGCTTAGGCTTAGTTCAATCAAGATATATTGCATTTGATTTTAAGCGAATTTGTGTCAAATTTTAGCTTTCTCGCAGTGGGTTAACTGTAATGGAAGTAATTTTTCACTCAAACGCTTACTTATTGACGATTTTAGGCCAAAAAATATCACTTGTCTCTGAATACCAAACCTTAAGAGGAGTATTTGTTACCGATACTGTATACCCTATAACCTAAAATAACGTAGATAAGAGCATCGCCTCTTCCCTGTAGAGGGTTCGCCCATTAAAGTAGAAGTTAAGCCAGCAATCCCTGTCGTCGCAAAGGCCGTGCCTACAAGTTAAGTCAACGTCAGGCCATCACAGTCTTATGAGGACAAAGTTGTAGGATTACGACACTTGAGAGAATTGACTTAGTTAGAGCGTAATGAAATGAGCCGCACTACGACTGTCCTACTGACACAAGTCTAACGGCCTGCACCAAATTACTCGTTCCATTTCAAATGACGTGAAGAAGGCTCTCACTATTATAATATATTTGTGTCGGCGATGAAGAATAGGCCAGTTTGGTTTGTCAACGATTCGTGTAATTTTCGTGACTTGTTCGCAGCTACTGACTTTTACCCACAGGTCCGTAGGGTGATAAGCCCCCTTTGCTTCAATCCTCTGGAACCTCTGGCACTAACATCACGCGGTTGTAAAAAAATTATTATAATTGATTTGACAAAATGCGGTTGCAGATGTGTCAAATCAATTATATTGAAACAATTCTATAAATATTGAAGCATGATTGCAAAATTATATTTGTTAGATTAACAAACAAAGAGTTGTGTCAGGCGGCGAGATTAAGCGCCACCTGACTGATTGCATATTTCTACTTGAGAAGGATTCGTTGACTAAGTGCTTGAGGGATTAGTAAGACACCATCTGTCTTGAGAACTTATCTTGATATGGGGTGGATACATGAGAGTTATATCAGAGATACAAGGCTAAGACGTCGAGTAGTTCTAACGGGAGTTACATGGCGGCGTACTTGTCAGTACTGGAGAGCCTTACGAAGGTTCCAAGCCAAGATTGCAAAATTATATTTGTTAGATTAACAAAGAGTCGTGTCAGGCGGTGAGATCAAAAGCCATCTGACTGATTGCATATTTCTACTTGAGGAAAAGGATTCGTTGACTATGTGCATGAGGGATTATGTAGTATGACACCATCTGTCTTGAGAACTTATCTAGTTCTAACGGGAGTTACATGGCGGCGTACTTGTCAGTACTGGAGAGCCTTACGAAGGTTCCAAGCCATTTTATAGACCTATGACTTCCGCCCACTTCTGTGATCTTGATCGAATGATCTGTCACATGATGTTGTCCATGCTGACTCAGGTCTAGTACTTTTCCTTCGATATCTACCACGTCTACTGAATATTACGTCTCAATTATAGATGATCTAATCTTACTATATAATTATATTGACAAATTTGCTAAATTGAAAAATTATGAAAATACTTTATTGTCAGGTTTCATATCTGTTATGCAGTCGAAAAGTATGTTGAAACTCGAGCACAAATTTATATTTTTCCGCTGTAAAGAGACTTCAAAATTCGATCAATTAGTACATTTCATGCATTTCACTACGGCATGAGATGATAAATGTGTCACTTATTCACTGGACGAAGTTCGGAAATTGGTCGAGACGTATATTCAGTTCACCTCCAAATTGCATCCATCTTAAATGCCCGTAATCGTTTCTATAATATTTTATCTTTGGTCTTAAAAAAGGCCATGAAAGTTTGGACTTGGCGGACAATGCGCGCTTAAAGACGGTAATCGTGCTGAGAAGTTGAGAAAAAGTTTAGAAAGCTTTTCAACGGCACGGAGTCCATTAAAGACCTGGAAAAGTTGAGGAGACGAACTGGCGGCGTCTCTGTCCAAATACCACGTCTACGACCTTTCTTCATGACGAGTAAAGACCAGATAAATTAGGGAGCAATTCATTTTATGATATTTGGAATAATAATAATTTCGTTCTATGATTTTATTTTGCTGTTCACCTGGAAGCTTGAGTATATGAGGATTTGGGAGGGCTTGACGGGTATCAAACTCGTATATCTAGGGATAAAAAAACTTAAAAACTAATAATATGCGTTTAAAAATTACTTTTTAAAGACAACACTTCTAAAAAGTACAGTGTCTCCGATGTTACTAATGTACAATACATATATTTATTTATTTTTAATTTTTTTAAATTATTTATTCTGTCAATTTATTCCAGGATTGTTTCCGACTTTACGCAAGTGTGCAAAATTTCAGATCGGTTGGACGGGTAGAAGTGTATTAAATATTGATTATAAGATTTGTATCAGACAAACAAACAAGCAAGAGGTGAAGTTAAAGAGAAGTGTTACAATAACAGACCAGCAAAGAGCTTAATTGTACAGTATACTGAAAGATTATTATACTGAGAGAATTGTATTAACGTTCCGATGCATGTGTGCTTAACGAAATCCTGACTCCGGAAAAATTTGGCATGTTAATGCATAACTTTCATTTAATTAATGATTTATATTTTAATATAGTTGTTTACATGCAATGCGCATGTAAATTATTACCAAAAAAGTTTCAACCAAACCTTCAAACTTATTTTAAGTTTAAACTACATTTTTACTAATTCGTTTTAAATGAAGCTTTACATTTCATCATCGTTCTTTCAGCCAGGGCCGCCCAGAAAAGGTCAGCGGACGAAGGTTACTTAGCTGACCTGGCATTTGTACATTGATTGAACCTGTCTTCCTGAAAATAATCCAGTGCTGATGCTGCATTTTCCCGGGGCAGAGACTTGCAATCTTTGCAAGAAAATTCACTATAGTGAATGAAGGCAACACAGACAACACAATTTTTACATGTACAGTTGAAGGTACCGAACAGCCTTGTGAGCACAAGTTCTCTATACATTTTTGTGAGGAAAGAAAATATGATTTCAGTGATTTCTGAAACAAATATACCCGCATTTTTTGCTAGGCATTAAGGGCACTGACAGGAAATAAATATGAATGAACTAAATTACGATTAATTTTAATCCTAGATTGCTTTCTAAATTGATTGATGTTCACGCAATGGCACGTTAATGCTAGAATCAGTTAATTGTGTTGTATATGCGGGTTCAGTTGTATGAGTGAGTTGAATTGTGTGAGCGATTCTTGTTGAATTTTTTAAGTTAACTGAGTAGTTTGAGTGTTTAAGAGTGCGGCCAGTCAATTTAGTGTCATTTATTTAAGTCATTTAATGTATCGAATATCCTTGGAAGCCTAGTTTATTACTGGGGATGCTATGTGTCCCCAAATAAAACACCTGTAATACACGTCTACGAAATCCTTAATTCATGAACCTCCCAAACTACGAACACTTGCTTTGATGTGATAGCAATGAGCGCTGCAAGGATTTAAAATGCTTTTTCAGTATAAATATTTGAATATTCGTCTTCATTTATCTCCGTGTTCTGAGACGATGTATTACCGATTTAAACTTACATCCTAAGCTCTCCATTATTTATAATGCGGCTGGAATTATTTGGTGAGATTTAGGTTACTGAACTATAATAGGTGTGTAAATGGGCTTGAGTATGATGATATTTTGTATTAATTATATGAATCATTTGCTGTGCAAGTGCTTTGTAATATTCTTCGTCTGAAATTTAAACTAAATTGTACTCCTTTTAATCGCCCGTTTATCTCCCGGTTTTTATAATTTTTATCACTTTCTCAATATTATTTGTAGCTAAAGTCAAAGTTTTGTGAGCGGAAAATAGTTAGTGGCAAACCATTTATATGTCTATTCTGCCCTATTTTTCCTCTCGTCCATTAGGTCACGTCTCCCAGAACGGTGAGTATTTTCCAAGCACTGAAGGATTAAGTGAGTTAAGCGTGAGTTAAATCGTCTGTGCTGGCCTTGAGAGGCTCGTCGAACGTTCATCTAGCGTTAGTTTAGGTGAGCTCTAGGCTATAACCTCCCCACCAACGCTGCCCATATACGCACTTTGTGGAGCTATTACAGCAACTTAGGTATCTTCTCACAACTAATGAACTTCCGGGGATCTAGACCGCTATATAATATTGTATCTAGTGCTAGACTATGAACAAAATAATG